CCGCCGACTGGAAGGCGGCGGCTGCGCTCGGTGGGCTCCGGCAGGCGCGGCGGTCGAGGCGGAGGAGCGGGTGAGCGCTGCGGAGCCCTGCGAGTCCCCTGGAGGCGGTGTTGCCGGGCGCGGGCCCCTGCGTAAGACGGGAGCCTTGAGAGGCCGGCCAGGGAGGCGCCGCCGGGGGAGGCCGCGACGGAGCTCCAGGACTGGCCATGGGCTGAGACACATCCTCTCCGAGCAGGTGCAGTGACCAGAGGTTCCGGGGGGAGCCCGCCCTGACAGACCCCGGAGACCATAAACCCCTTCCGGACGCGCCCTACGCAGCCCGGTGCCCCGTTGACCTTCCCTCGGCTCCTCCCGAGAGGCCCTGCTGACCCGTCTCCAAACCGCGCGCCCGCAATCCGAGTGACCCCCAACAGTCGCGGACATCCTGTGCAGCCCCCCGGGCTACACCCGTGACCCGTCTCACCTAGTAGGCCTTTGTACCACCGCTTTGCCCCAGTATTTTGAGTCCCTTGCCTGCCTGCACAGTGCCTGGCAACTACTTGGCATATCTCCCTTTTCCGTCTAACCGCTGGGACGGGGGTGGGCAATGGGGAAGCGGGAAGTGGGAGTGGCGAGCCTTCCCTCCGGAGCCTCTGGTGACCACAAACCCGTCTTCTTTCCCTCAAGCCTGTAGTGAAAGCGACCCTTCTGCACCCCACCGGAAAACATGCCCGGGTGACTCCCTCCCAGAGCTTCCTTGTGGCCTTCCTCACCCTCTGTAGTGACACTATGCAATCCCAGTGTGACCTGCGAGGCCTCTGGCTCCTGCTGCTGTCCTTGTTCCTGCTCCTCTTTGAGGTGGCCAGAGCTGGCCGACCAGTAGTGAGCTGTCCTCCTGCCTGCCTGTGTGCCAGCAACATCCTCAGCTGCTCCAAACAGCAGCTGCCCAATGTGCCCCTTTCCCTACCCAGCTACACAGCGCTGCTGGACCTCAGCCACAACAACCTGAGCCGCCTGCGGGCTGAGTGGACCCCCACGCGCCTGACCCACCTGCATTCCCTGCTGCTGAGCCACAACCACCTGAATTTCATCTCCTCTGAGGCCTTTTCCCCAGTGCCCAACCTGCGCTACCTGGACCTGTCCTCCAACCAGCTGCGAACGCTGGACGAGTTCCTGTTCAGTGAACTGCAAGCCCTGGAGGTGCTGCTGCTCTACAATAACCATATCATGGCAGTGGACCGCTACGCCTTTGATGACATGGCCCAGCTCCAGAAACTGTACTTGAGCCAGAACCAGATCTCCCGCTTTCCTCTGGAACTGGTCAGTGAAAGAGCCAAGCTACCCAAACTAACACTCTTGGATCTGTCCTCCAACAAGCTGAAGAACTTGCCACTGAGTGACCTGCAGAAGCTGCCAGCATGGATCAAGAATGGACTGTACCTACACAACAACCCCCTGGAGTGCAACTGCAAGCTTTACCAGCTCTTTTCACACTGGCAGTACCGGCAGCTGAGCTCCGTGATGGACTTCCAGGAGGATCTGTACTGCGTGCGTTCCAAGGAGCTGCACAATGTCTTCAACCTCAGTTTCCTCAACTGCAGCGAGTACAAGGAGAGTGCCTGGGAAGCTCACCTGGGTGAGACCTTTACTATCAAGTGCGACACCAAGCAGCAGGGGATGACTAAGGTGTGGGTGACACCAAGCAATGAACGGGTGCTAGATAAGGTGGCCAATGGCACAGTGACAGTCAAGGATGGCAATCTTCATTTCAAGAAGGTGCAGGTTGAAGATGGGGGTGTGTATACCTGCTATGCTATGGGGGAGACCTTCAATGAGACACTGTCAGTGGAGTTGAAAGTGTACAACTTCACCTTGCATGGACACCATGACACCCTCAACACAGCTTATACCACCCTAGTGGGTTGTATCCTCAGTGTGGTCCTGGTCCTCATATACCTGTACCTCACCCCTTGCCGCTGCTGGTGCCGGGGTGTAGAGAAGCCTTCCAGCCATCAAGGTGACAGCCTCAGCTCTTCCATGCTTAGTACCACACCCAACCATGATCCTATGGCTGGTGGGGACAAAGATGATGGTTTTGACCGGCGGGTGGCCTTCCTGGAACCTGCTGGACCTGGGCAGGGTCAGAACGGCAAGCTCAAGCCAGGTAACACCCTGCCAGTGCCCGAAGCAACAGGCAAGGGCCAACGAAGGATGTCAGATCCAGAATCTGTCAGCTCGGTCTTCTCTGATACACCCATTGTGGTGTGAGCAGGATAGGTTGATGGGGAGATTCTGCCCCAGGAGAGGCGATGCACCCCTGAAGGATGTGAGGGGATGGAAGAGAGGGCTGGCTGCCCGAGGGAGTGGGTTCCTCCTGACCTCCAGGGAATTGGTCATGGGCACAACAGCAGGCAAGATCCCACTGAGGGTGTGGCTGCCTCGAGTTTCAAATATGGATATATTAATCCTCAGGCAAATGCTACACCCCTACCCAAGCCCTGGCAATTCTCAGTGTAGTAGAGGAGGAGGAGCATGTCTGAGCTGGATGAAAATGAGGAAGGGGTAAAGGGAAGAGCAGATTCCCTAAACTTTTTTGAGGTCATCCTTAGCTCCTTAAAGGAAAATCATATGAAAACAATTTTTTTTTTGTCTCTGCCCACCCACACCTGTGAAGTTGTGTGTTGGGAGAGCCTCCACAGGAGCGGTGTTGAGAAAACTGCAGTCTCTTCTTGGGCCAGGAAGTCACACTTCATAGCTGGGGAATGGAAAATCTTTGGAAAATAAGGCCTTGATCAGTAATGCTCCCCAAAAGTTGCTGTGAGACTTCCCACTACAGCCTCTTTGCCAATGAGCCCTGGGTAGATGGACCTTAGTGGGAGCCTGGCCTGTTGCCTGTTATGGCAGCATGTGGGATGTATCTGTGCCTTGTACTGGGACCAGTAGCACAGTTATAGCATAAATTAAGAGGTCCCCATCACAGAATAGCTGCTAGCACAAACCTTGTGGATCGGGGGGTGAACTCCAGATAGGCTAATTCCCTGGTTGGGGAAACTCTTGGTTAATATTGGAGTCCCAGCATCTGTGTGTCAGACCAGAATGGGTTGCTGAAGGCAGAACTTCAGTGGATACCTGCTGTACATGTAGTGTGTCGGCCCACTCCCACCAGAAGGATGAGGTGAAATCAGCTTCTGGGATGTAGCAGCCAACTGAACCTACCTGATTTTCAGTGTATGCCATCTCTTCAGTCTCCTTATCAAGCTAAGGGGGATTCTGAGTTTTCCTTAATACACTGCTCTTCAAAAAGAAGACTTTAGGAAGGTCTGGCCCCAGCTCAGTTAGACGGGTGTGGAGATTGAGGGAACCCAATAGGTACCTCTTCTATGTTGACAAGGCTGCCTCGCGCCTCCCTCGGAGATCTCACTCTTGCTGCAAAGCCAAAGCCTGGGATTTAGTCATCTGAAGGGTTAGAATTGGGTGGTCTCTGTTTCAGAATGGCAGTTTGAAGTGCAGCATAGAGTTATACCCTCTCCATAAAGCTCAAGGCAATCCTGTAGCAGAGGCAATCAATGGCGCTACACTTTCAGGTGGAAAGTCCCGCCGCTCCATCCCTCAGCCTGAGGTCCGTGCATTTGTGGTTGTTAGGCCAGAGGAACATAAGAACGTTAGTTTCCAGCCAGAATTTCAGAGCAATTTGGGTATGAAGATGACTGATCCCTTTAACTTCTCCCTTTAACCATGGTACATGCCTGGGCGGTGGTAGCTGTGAGCTTTGGCAGGGGCATGCGCAGGGCAAAGTTGAAAATGTTCTTTGATGTTGGTCTTTTTTAGTGTCTCTTCTCCTCCTATGTTTCCTGTCTCTTGAAAGCTCTCCGGGTCCTCTAGTTTTCTGATCTTCCTTTTAGGTTCTAAGAGGTGTTATTTTCCTATGGGTGAGGACTGCTTGCTAGGAGGGCCTGACCGTTAAGCTGCCTGTTAAGACTGGGGAAGGGGCTTGGAAGTCAACATCTTGTCTGTCCCTGGGATCTCAAGGCTGCTGTCCATCTTTTACTAGTCACCTAGTTTTGTCAAGGGAGAGGTGCAGCGATTTCCCTCAAGTAGTTGCATGCTCATAGGTATGCATGCTCCTAAGTATGCATGCACACCAGCGCCTTGACCTCCACCAGGACAATGGATCTGTAGTCCCCACTAACGCCACTTCCGGTCTCTCGCTTTGTGCACAACTTCATGCCATTTTCTTGTGCTGTAGGAGAGACAGTGACCATGCCAGGTGTCTCAGATACACAAACTGTTGTACTTTAATTTCTGAACTGCCTGAACCTTCACATCTCTATGACTCTGAATCACTTCTCTGGAAAAGCTGGAGTTAGAGGGACCATGGGTTGAAGATCTTGGGAGAAGGGGTCGTGAGGCCCTAGGTAGTTCTTCAGACTCCTGAGAAACCTTCCTTAAGAACTACATGCACAAGATACGAAGAACTAGGGCAATGAAGGACCCAGAAGGAAACTAGCAGGGGCCAAGCAGCTGAGTTGTTCTTCTTGACATTAACTGTCCTAATAAGACAAAAGTAGGAGGAAAACATTTTCTGGCTATACCCCAGAGACTTACGAGGACTTTGTTACCAGAGCAATAGGCACCAGGATGCCCTCCTCAGACTTAGTAAGAAACATAGGAAAATATTTTTTCATGCTGCAATTTTCCCTCTTGGTACTTACCACCCAGGGCTCTGAAACTCTTTTAAAGTAAAAGTCAAATGAAGCAAGCCTCTGGGGCATTCTAGCTGAGCCCCTTGGGACTCAGAGGGCCATTTTCTTCCTGAGTCCTACCTTGCAGCTCTAAGTCTCCCTACTGTATCCACTAGTTTAGATACCTCGAAGATGTGCCTGGCTGCCCCACTAAGTGGTTTAACTGCTTAGCTTCTTCCCGTGGTTTCAGTTGATAAAACCTAAACCTAAAGGTAGCTTTCTACCTGGGGGGTTGAATACTCACCAGAAGCAAGCAACTCATCAAGTTCTGTAGAACCTAAGTAGAAAACTGTCAGGTGTGGTTAAAGACACCTCCTCCCCTCACCCTACCCTGCACCCATAAGCCAGACATATCTCCCAGGAAGCAGGTGTCCTTGGAGACAGAATATGACAGGGCTCTATAATCTGTCCATGTAATTATTTGTGATCGTTTCTTCTTTGCCTGTATTTATTAGGCCTCTGGGAAGGGGCCAGGGGAGGGTACATCTCAGCTGGGGAGAGCAAAGTCAACTGATTCCAGTTTTGTGTGTGTTCTTACCTCTGTATGTCTTCCTGTGTCCAGGACCCTGTCCCTCCCACTTGTGTATACCCAGGCTGGCAAATCTCAGAGCCCCTGGGCTCTGAAAACTAGATAATGACCATTAAACCTGGCTTGAGTCTCTGTTCTGGCATGGTCTGTGGCTGGTTTATTTCTTTTCAGCCTGTTGGGGGGAGTTTACTGTACCTCATAAGGGTGCAGCTTGTCTAGGGAGAATCTTTAAATGCCACTATAAGGACATGGGTAAAATCCACATCTAAGCGGTAAGATATACTAGGAGTCAGGAAACTTTTTGGTCAGAAGTCAGATAGTAAATACTTTAGGCTTTGTAGGCCACACGGTCTGTTACACCTCAGCTGTGCTGCTATAGCCTGATAGTGCTCACAGGCAGTACA